GAGCCACTGCACAGCCCCCCAGCTGCCTCTCCACACTGCACACAGGGACCTCGTTGCATTTAGGACCTCCACCCAGGGGCAGGGAAGCTTGTCTCCAGTCCTGTTGCAACACTACAGGCCATTTCCAAGCCTCGATATCCCTTCCTTTTTCTACCTAAGACCCAGCAAGAGCAGAACCACCATGCTCCATCTGCACATCCCAAACCAGGTAAGTCCTTGCATTAAGAAACCATGACAGCCCCATCATCAATCTATGCAGCCCCTGGCTGAACCCACAGAAGTGTCCAGCGCTCACATCGCACACGGATGCGAAGCCCAGAGCTGAATTCACCACGTGAGACACAAAATCTCTTGTTCAGGGGCATGCCTACCATCTGCTATTGCCATTGCTTCTTCCAGGTTTGTAGTGGAAGAGAGAGCAGACAGCTGCACCCATTCTGCCTCACCATGCAGCTTCCAGGCTTCCATCACACCCTGCCTTGCTGCCTTCCCCCAGCTGAGGAGCCCGGAGCTTTTGCTTTAGGAACAACTATAGAGGCGTCCTAGGCCTCTGAGCAGCTTTGCTGCTCTGCTCTGAACCTTTGCTGGTCTGCCAAATAATTTTTCAGATAAGAGGACCACTGCCACACGTAGCATCAAATAGCTGCAGGTACCATGGATTTATTTATGGAGTGTAACAATGCTCTCCAGGTTACTCTCTTTTCCTCCTACTACCCAACAGTCGATTTGCTTTTTTGACCACTGTTGAGCTCTAAGCTGACATCTTCTAAAATCTAACCCAACTCCAAGCTCTTCCTCAGACTGCATTTTAATTGGAAGAAACCAGACCTGCAAGAACAAAGCACAGCGTAAAAATTCAGTACACAAGAGATATTTTTCATTTGCCACTATCAGCTGATTTTACAGGTACCTCAAATAATTCAGTGAATTCAAAATGTCACCTCTCTGCCTCCTGTCTCAGCTGCCCCAACTGTCTTTGTCAGAGCCCCACAGTTCAGGCAACCTTTCCCTCCACTGCACCCAAGGCCCACGCTTACACATCTCCCGATGCTTCCATCCTTCTGCAAGCTGCTTTCAGTGAAGACCGGGCAACTTGAAACCTGCCTTAGGAACTAGGAACATGATGAGACGGCAGTCATCCTCTTTGACAACAAAGCTGAACACAAACCCTGAGAAAAAAAGTCTGTTGAGGCCAGGCTGGAAGAGATGATCCTTACTACAGATGTTAGCCCCAACCACTAACAGCATCTGAGACTTTCAAAGAAGTACTTGCCTTTCTCTGCAGCTTGCTGCTTCAGCTCTCCATCACCTCCCAAATCAAAGGCATTCAGAAGAGTTGGGATATGGCAGGGCACATTCAGCTTGTGGCAGACACAGGAAGGTAACAGTGGAGTGAAACACATCTCCTCCAGCTGCTGGACTAACAGTCCGCATTTACCTCTCTAAACTCCTGGTGTTAGAATAAAAAGATGACAGGAACCAAGAGTCAACTCATCTTCCCCAGAGAAAATGAAGAAGAGGATTTTATCATAAGCACAGACACCTTCACAGCTGGATAAAAGGTAAAGAACTCCTGCAAAAGCTGCCCTGAGTGCCCAAGTCACATGGGAGAGAGGAAGGAACCACACAAACATGTCAAACAGGCAGAGGATGGACAGAGAGGAAGCAGGGAGACAGAAAGTACATCCTAGGCATAGAAAGCAGAGAGGGAAGTCAAGGAACTCAAGAGAAGTAGCCAGTTAAAGATGCATCATAGAATCACAGAATCATTTAGGTTGGAAAGGACCTTTAAGATCAAGTCCAACCATAAATTTAGCATGGCCAAGTCCACCACTAAACCATGTCCCTAAGCACCACGTCTACTCGTCTTTTAAATACCTCCAGGGATGGCGACTCCACTACTTCCCTAGGCAGCCGGTTCCAGTGCCTGACAACCCTTTCGGTAAAGAAATTCTTCCTAATATTCAATCTAAACCTCCCCTGGCACAACTTAAGGCCATTTCCTCTTGTCCTATCGCTTGCTACTTGAGAGAAGAGACTGACCCCCACTTCGCTACAACCTTCTTTCAGGTCATTGTAGAGAGTGATAAGGTCTCCCCTCAGCCTCCTCTTCTCCAGGCTATGATGGTGACCATTGTAGTCACCTACCCATCCCAGTCAGAGAAGGACAAGAGCCAGCCAGGCCTGTGCTCCTGTGGGGCTGCCTGGACGACTTGGAGGGTTGTGGAGCATCCATTCCTTTCTGTCTTGCCTCTTCCCCTTACACCACCACCTCAAACTGGTCCAGGAGCAACTGCTGTCCCCTCACCATGTTCTGAGGAGACCAGGCTTTCCAGGTCTTTTCTGCTGATGTAGCCAGTCACAATCCTCTCTTAAACAGTGTGCAGGTATGCTGACAGGCAGAGCCGCAAGCCAATGTCACCACCTCTTCTTCCTTACTTCTCCAGCAACAAGCAATCTCTCAACCCCGCATATCCTTCTGGGCCAGCTCCGTATCTGACAGCTTCAGAGTTAGCAGAGAGCACTCCAGCTCACATAGCTTCGGTGCTCAGGCTCTGCCAAGACAAAAGTTGGGTCCCTCAGTTCAAGCACAAAGCCAAAATGTGAAAGCCCAAGTGGACAAAGGAACAGAGGAAGAACAGTAGTAGGAAAGTCAAATGTTTTACCCGGAAACATCTTACGCAGATACTTTCGACTAAGCTGCAATGCCATGGAGGCACAGCCATGGAGGGAGATGCTGGTTTTCTGGGAACTATACCTCCAAAAGCAGAGGGATACAGGGTCTAAGGAAAAGAGAGAACAGAGCCAAAACCCACAGCTGCCAGCTGGGCTTGGTAACCCAGCAGAGTGTTTCCTATCAGGTCCAAGCCCTGTCACCACTCCCTTGTTTCACTTATGCCTTGCAGGCCTCTTTAATCCCACACTGAAGTCTTCCTGGCTGTCCCTAAAGTGTCGCAGCACACAGTCAGATCGTAACACAAAACACAAGAGATACCGGCAATCTTAGATAATGGGAAGCCATCTTAGGTAACGTGAGGCACGAATGAACGTGCACACACAGGGAGGACAAACATACCAACTTTCTCAACTGCCACATCGCATCCTTGACAGAAAAAAAATCTTCTTCAGCTATGAAAAGCACAGGAGACAGAGAGAGTAAGCCTACCCACAGTCTGTCAACTTGACCTTCTCAGAGCTTGAAAAGCAAGTGGGAGAGAAACACTTCTTTGTCTTGTTATTAAATCTTAAAATAACAATGTGTAGGAGAATCCTACCCTCCTGCCCTGTGCACTGAGCTAAAGGAAGATGGGAGAAAAGCAGGGGGAGGGTTGGAGTCAAGCTGAATTTCCTGCTGAACAGGCTCTCTCTCAGCTGACCAGAAATCCCAGGAGACAAAGCACGTCTGCCTAGAATCTCTCTTCTAACTCCAGGGTGTCTGCCATTGTAGGCACAGCCTAGTTACAGTTCACTGAATTAACACAAAAAAAAATGAATTGATTTCCATAATGAAAAAGCCTCCACATGGCTCCGGAGTGATACAAGAAGACAGGGCACAGTAGCTTGGGAAGATTTTAAAAAAAAAAAAACACAAAACAAAACAATTTTTGCCTCGTTGAATTGCAGTTTTAAGCTATTTTTAGCTGATCATCTGGAAAGTGCGAGGGAGCACAAAGCATTGCAGTCAGCATCACTGTCTGCAGGAAACCAGTACGCAGCCTCAAGAGAGGGTTAAACATAGTCAGATAGTGCACATCTGCATCATCAGCACTGCACAGGGACCAGCAGCATAAGTTTATTTATAAACCAGACATGTACAGCTGTAGCCTGCAATGAAAGACTAGGATTGCAGGCTGTCAGCCTTCAACAACGTGCTGTCTAACTTAATTAAAGAGATGGCTATGTTCACATGCACACACATAGGCACACATGTCCTTTTCCCAAGAAAGTTACAAACAAGGAGCTCAGTGTTTTGAAAACAATATATTTCACAAAGTTTCCTGTGTGGAGGGCAAGCATCTCCAGCAAATGTGTCCTCACACAACCTTCCCATTCCTGCACTCTGTGACCAAACGTGACGGATGGTCCGTGTCTGCTACAGCTCTCAACTGCTCATGTAACCACTAGCCCTTGGGTGGTTAACTGGGTTTGTTTGTAGCCCTGGGCATGAAAACAAAGTCACAGTAGCAGTGTAAATCTGCAAGGAGAAAATAAATTAATTCAGTTTGCAAACAAGCTATTTGGGAGTCACAGGCATCTTCTGCACTGGGACAGACTGCTGTGCCATCAGTTTCCATTTAGAGACGTGAAACCCAGTTTCAGATACAAAGCTCTGTCTGCCACTAAGCAGCTAGAGGGAGAATTTCCTTATTATGGGACTAGAAAACAAAAGCCTCTCTCTTCTCTTCCCTGTTCCCACTCTCACTCCCCATACTCACTGGTGAGCTGGACTCTCCTGCCCAAGAGTCCTTGAGCCAGGGACCTAGCAACAGCAAAAGACAGGAGGAGAAAACTGCCTGCGATCAGGCTGCAGCGGGTAAAGCACTGTTGATGCACAACAAGCAGCTTGCTGACAAAATATTGGGGTATGAATTGCAGCTGCTGGTGAGGCAAAAGCAGCTGCAAAGGAAAGACGGAGTTCAGGTTACACCCTGGGCTCTGCTGTCCCCTCAGCCCCTGGGAGCCAGGAGCTTTTGGCTAAATGAGGACATCCCACACGCATGAGGACATCCCAAAGGTGGGGGTTCCAGCTGCACGGCACAGGCCAGCTCCATCAGGTAGCCCGAAGCTAGTTCTCCACCTCGGGGGCACTAAGCATATACGTGGCTTTCTGCCTCCTCCAACCCCAAACAGAAACTACTTTTAAAAGCCCCTGCAGGAACACAGGAAGCTGTGTTTGGGTTTGATTCTCCTGGGCTTGTTCTGACAGCCACTACAAATATAGTCCCCAATATCTTTGTTTATAACCTAATGAAGCACTCATTCAAAATACAACAACAAACCTGTTCTGGAGGAAACAATGCTTCGGGAGTCCAAGTCAAGCTTCTTTACTAGAGTATCAGGGTCAATCTTCAGCCCAGAAAAGACACCAGAAGATGAGAAGTCCCAGTCCTTATCCAAAAGAAACATTAAGCAGGAGTCAGTACGAACACCACCAGGCTAAGTCCCCCACTGGCCTGGCCCCCCCAGGCTCTTCCACATAGAAGCAAGTTTCACAAAGTCACGTTTTGGATTGTTATATTCCCAACAGATTTCTACCTCAGACCAACCTCACCTCACTCAAGTGAACTCAGGTATTACTCCTAGGAGAACTGTGAATGGCATCCTGAGTAAAGTCAGATTTATTACAGATACTTGAAAATACAGATAAGCAACAAATGAATAGATTAGGGGCCTAAACTGATGGACATTAAGCAGATTCAGTGACTACTAGCAACTTACCAGATCTTCAGCATCTAGGTCCCCTCAGCATGCAACACCTCTCTAAGCTTTGCAGTAGATTCCCTGTTTGGCTTAGAAGAATTTATTATTACAGGGCGCTGAAGCTTGACAACTAAAGAGCCAAACCCACACCGGGGGTGACCCCCTGCCGAACCAGAGGAGGCCTCACGATGGTTTCCACTCGGCCAAAAGCCTTGAGGAATGTGGCCACCCAGACGGAGCTCCCCCGCAAACATGCCGCTGTGCAGGTCACCGGCTGCAGGGAGTGCCCGAGTCTGGCGTTGGCACCGGAGGGCAGCAGGGATAACGTCTGTGTGCGCTGCGACCAGGTGGATGATCTGATCTGCCTGGTGGTAGAGCCCAAAGAGGAAGTGGAGAGGCTGAGGAGCA